TTTAATTGTTCTGTTGTAATTTTACTGTTGTACACCACCTAGAGAATCTATATGAACTACTTGGTGGCCTATAAATAACGAAATAGATAGATAATTGATTTGGGTTAAGTCCAAACATCAGCCCTGGGGCAAGCTGGGAATGTTAAAAAGGCCAGTATTCTTGGAGGAGAGGCTTTTGTCTCCTTTAACTGAGGAGGATAAGTCCAAGGCAGGGTACTCTTGGATCATTGCAAAACTATTGTTAGGAAGCCAAGCAAGATGGAACAAGGATTACCCGAGTTGGTGGATACTTATGGGATTTCCAGTAATTAAGAATCTCAGCTACAGGGGAATGTTGTGAATCAGAGAAGATAGATCAAAGGATTCCTCCTTTCAAAATTAACACTGAAGAAGTGAATCAGATTAATTTTATGACTCATAGAGATTATATTTAATTCTAGAATTATAGCTGTTTGTTAAATACATTACATTTATTTCACTTCTCTTCCATCATGGTGGCATACAAGGGTGCCTAGACAGTCCCTCATCCATCTGTTGACCAGACCCAGACCTATTCAGCTTTACCAAGGTTGGGACAGCATGTATCTCACAGCATGGACCTGGCTTCTGTCCAAAGGACCTCTCTCCCTCTCTCTCTCTCTCTCTCTCTCCCTCTCTCTCTCTCTCTCTCTCTCTCTCTCTCTCTCTCTCTCTCTCTCTCTCATGAACTCACACAGTCTAGGTTCACATGACAAGCTAAGCCTTATTATGAAATATATAGAGAGGTGGAAAAATACAAACCCTGGGGAAAAGTCCTGTGTAAAGGATGCATTTCTCCCCACAACAAAAATGGAGGCAGTCTCAGTGCAGCAGCAGAATAACCCCTTCATGCAAAGGAGCTCCTAGTTGGGAACCACCCCAGCAATGCCCAAGTCTCCAGAATGCAAGAACTGTATGTGAGCCCTCGAGGAGTATTTTCAAAACATCAGCCATTCTTCAGACATCCTCATCGTCGTCCTCGTTGTCATTACCAAAAAATTGCCATCAGTTATTTGGCTGCCGTCTGCTTTCATTCACAGAATATATTCAGTTCCAGCAAAATAGGCCCATACTCATTGATTCATTGATTAATAAACTATTTTCCTCCAGAAAGCAATGTTAATAGTGAAGTTGTGTGTGAGCACTTGAGATAATATACATGCTGTAGTTTAGCCTAGTTTCTTGACTTCCTGAAGAAAGGCCTAACCTGAATTTGGACCATGACTCTTCAAGAGAGAAGAGTTTAAACTTCTCTCCATGTCCCCCACTCTTCAGGTCCCTGTCCCTGATCCTAATCCAAACTCTTTTTTAACCCTCTCCTCATGGGGGTATGCAAAATTTCAGCAAGGGGGGAATGGTTGGAGGGGAAAGCTTAAATTGTCCTCTGAAATGCCACAGTCCATTGTCTGAAGCAGATCTGCACATGCTTATACAAAAGTTAAACCAAAATGGCTGAACCATAGGCACAGGGTGAGTAGAACATGTTGTTTGGCCCTTAGAATTCAAGAATTCTTAGTCCAGATTTTGAGTACCAGAAGTACATGGAGATCACTGTTATTCCATACAAACTTTGATTCCTGGTTACTCCAAGCTTTCTTCATTTTAGCAGGATTTAGTATGGGTATATGGTATGTGTGTGACAAAGTCATTTTGTTGTTGCTACTGTTAAACAACTCTGAGTCAGGAACCCTCATTAATGTACTGACTGAGACACTCAGTCCTTCCAGCCCACAACTCTCTGTTCTCAGGAAAGGATGTTTCCCAGCCAAGTCTCTGAGGGCTAAACAAAAACAAAACAGCAAAAACAAGCCACCTTGGCTTCTTGCAACAGCTCTGCAGATTTCTGTCATTACCCACCCTGGTGTGGCTTGACAAGTTATCCAAACCCAGGTGGCATGGCTTATTTGGCACAGGCTGCAACGCTCAAATAACCTGAGGGCTAATTGTTGACTTATCTGAATGTTGCCGCTCACCACAACCAAGCCCTGGATCAGACAACATGGCAAGGTGGGAAGCACAGGTCGCCATGGAAACCTGGCTGGCACAACAGGCCATGACCAGTTGCTGTGATCATACTAATTGGGCCAGGGTTGAGAATCCAACACGCGTAGCAGAAGTCTGCTAGGTAATTGGCTTCTCAGTCCTTTGGAGTATGTTTTGAGAGTGTGCAGAAGACTTTGGGTAGGGCAATGACCCCTCCTGGTTCCACTGACGTAACTGGATCAGTCACTGGGATGAGGCCTTGGGCTTTGACCCATAGCATGCAGCTTAGCTTCCTCTTTCCCTCTTTTTTACAAGTGTGTGGCCTCCTGGGCTGGATGGAGGCAGATGCACCTGGGCAGAGGGTGTTTAAAGCTAACCATCCTAGTGCTAGGCAGTACTGAAGAGGCAATTTTACTGCCTTGTAAACAGATGCAGAAACTTAAACAATAATATGGAGAATCCATGACTCCAGGGTGTTCAGATAACTCAAGGGATTTTAATCCATGCCTCAGATACTTTAATTATGCAAACTGGAATTTCATGAGAGGTCTAGAGATCACCATCTTCCACATGTAACTGTCCTGTGTTCTCTCACATTTTCTTCATTATTTTTTCCACAAAAAAATTGTTAGCGAGGAGAAGACAGGACACCTGCACAATATCTTTTGATCAGTAGTGCCAGGTGCTCTCTGCCTGGAGACACACTTGGGAATGTTCAAATCCACCCCCCACCCCAAGTTTAAAGCATTAAAGATTTTGATTGGAATGATTAGGTTTAGGGGAAGCATGCTGCTTTAATTTTCTCCAACTTCAATGCTTCTCTTCAAAGCAATTAGGTTTGCTAGAGGGTGGGAATAAAAACACAACACAGGTTATCTGAATTCACTAACAGTAGATTAGAGGGGGTATTGACATTGGGTGGAGCGAGCACTGGAGCAAGAGATGCATTTAAAATGGCTGCCAAAATGTGGGTGGGGGAGCGGGAGCAGGGGAAGAGAGAATTGGAAAGGGCATTGCAGATTATCCATTCCACCTGATGCTCCATACAGGCTCTGCACTGCAGGGTGTAGCTACTGCATCCTTTACAGACCGCCACCTAGATCTGCTTGTTCTTCAAGTAAAGGGGCACCCAGCACCTTCCACTGCTGAACAGCTCTCACTGTTAAACCCTTTCTTCAAAAGCTTTCATTCTCAGGAGCATGGCGAGGATAGTGGAACCCATTTTTGATCTGCTGGTAGGTCTGCTACAGAGATAGCTCAGGAAGACCCCAAAATATGTCAGTGGAATCTCCTTCTGGTGAAAACCACATAATGACTCAACAAACTCAAATGACAATTGGCTCCCCCAGGATCTGCTACTGATGGTGCCATTCAGGGATGCTGGATCCTGCACTGAAAACATTTCACTGGAGGGGGCTCTTTAGAGGGCAACAGGTGCTCCTTGTCCACCCTGCCCTGTTGCCTTTGAGGCCCTCCAGCTCATATGGCTGAGTGGGCCACTGCAGCGCTGCCCCAGCTGCCCCCTGAGGGCATCACTGCTGGCCACTGTCTCCACCCTTCCTAAAGGATGCAGCGCCCTTAGTCTGTCATGTGCATTCTTAAGACAGGAAGAAGCTGTTGTGACCCATCCTTTTAGCGTATGGGTTGGATCCACATTTACTCTTTCTTTAAAGATCCACTGAATCCATGGCTAGTTTCAGTCATTAATGTGTTAAGTATGACTGAAGCAAGATCCCAACCCAGTGACTGGGTTCAGATCACATGATAGCCCATACTTCAGGGCTGAGTATGGGTTGTGTGTGGGTTGTTATTGATTAGTTGGCTGTTGATTGATGTTGCAACTCAGTTGTCATGGTATTTGAATACAGCTGTGCTAACAATCCATTAATGGTTAACTACAAACAATCCATGAAGAGAACCTATGATTTGTTGTTCAGCTGTGAACTGTGGGTTATTCACTATGTTATCTTGGCTGGGTTCAGGCAATGCAGTAAGCTGGTTTCAAAACAACCTGTGGTTCAAAGGCAGCCTATACTCAACCCTTGTCTGAACACAGTCAGTATATATTTTAACCCCAAGGTGAAGGGAATGGCAGACAAACATTTGTGCTCATCCTGACTTCCTTCCCTCCTGCTCTTGCTCAAGCATAAAAGTGCTCATTAATCCATTTTTTTGGTCCTGCAGTAACTGTATGGCTTTGCATATTAACCCACTGCAAGCAGCTTGGTCCATAATGAGCTGTAACATCATGTTTTTAAAGGACTAACTGGGAGAAGTACTCCTGCGCCAACTGAACGAAACGTACAAACAATCCCCAGATTTTATTTGACTTTAAAAAAGATTTATCTGGTCATAATGGGATATATTTGTTTAACAGTCCAAAAGTGGTATTGCAGGGCCTCTGGGGAAAGGGCACTGTGGCATAATATAGCACCATATATTACATGTACAAGAGTAATAACAACGGTAACAATACGGTGCTATTTTAAAATGCTGCGTGGAACCTGCTTCAATCCCACACCTGCTTAATTGCAGGGACAAGCAATGGCTCAGCAGCAGGAGGGGACTCCAACTCCCAACATGCACTGCCTCCTCCCCTGCACCTCTTTTCTCACGGGGTGCTTCCACAGGAGGTGTTCATTGTGCAGTCGTCCTGTGGCATTCGTGGCACTAACAGCAGTCTAGATGGCACTGTCACCCTCATTTTGCAACCCCTGCTTCACCCGTCCTTCTTCTTGAAGGCAAGATGGCTTAGTCATACGTTGTCCTCTGTCATTCCTGGCCATGCCCATTCTGGCTGCCCTCTCCCTGCTTGCTCTTTCAGAGGCTGCCCCACAGTCTGCGGGCAAGGTTCCTTCTGCCACTCCTGAAGACCCCTTCTGGAGGGCGATCACCTTATCCCTGCTCCTCATTTCAATCTTCAGGGGATGAAATCGTTTATGTTCAGTTTGGGAACACGGTATAACAGCAGCTACAGTGACCACGCAGCTATAGTGATATTGCATTGCAAAGAGGGACCCTTAGTCTTATTTTATTATGACTGAAACCAGTACATCCTAATATTGACCAAAGAGACACAATATGCATTATTTACCCCACTCAGTGGTCTATTGATACAATCGCACCTGCTGGGCAGTGTTGCTTAGCTACAGCGCAAATCATGCAAGTGTAAACGGACGTGCCCCAAATCTGGGCCAGCACTTTCCCTGCTTTCCGAATCTTCCCTTTTTGCTGTCCCCTCTGGTTTTCTGACAAGCTCCTCCAAGAGTTCTCTTAGGCACTGAACAGTTCAATTTCACCAGCAGAAAATCCTGGTTTAACCACCCCTCCTCTTTGTGCGGTACCTTCTGTGACACAAGCGCCTCTGTCCTAAGCACATGCTGAATCTCAAAAGGTTAGCCAAGGGTTAATAATAAGTGAAGGGAAAGGGCACTAGCATTGCCCCAATCCTGGAAGGGGAGGGGAGGTCATTATCATTATTACTCCCTCACTGCTTCTCATTCAGGCAAGACACCCCACTTCCTTCTGTTGCCATCACTCCTCCCCAGATGAGGAAATGCCCCTGCTGGGATTTCTACTGGAGCAAGCATGAGTAAGCAGTCAAGAGCCCCAAAGACATAACTGCGAATGTCCATCATTGTACAAAGATGTCAGCATGTAGGTATTCAAACAAGCAGAAGGTCCTTCACCACTCTGGTCTTGGCTGATGCCTGCTATGCGACCTTCTCTGCCCCAGTAAGTGTCGATGTCCTCCTCAGGTTTTCTTTGACTTTAATAAATTCTGGTTCATTCTCTTCTTGCTTCTCATGTTCCTTTTCCAACTAGTGGAAGAAAGGCAGGAGATAATAGACACATTTGCAGGCACTGTCGAAATACAAGCACAACTGAGTTCACTACAGAAAATGGCAGAGAAGCCAATGGTTTTCTGGGTGGTTAACCTGGCTTGTTCTCAAAACTCCTGGTTAACAAATCCTGGATTGGTTTAGTGTGTCTAACTGGGTGTTTTAATGTGACAGGGGAGATCGCATTAGGAGCTTCCCTCACTTGAAATACCACATGTTAAGTGCTCTGAGAAAAAAAGCTCTGTGGATCCTGTATTGGCCTGTCTTGCTAATGTTTTGATCCCATTTAGGAAATAATCAAAATCAGGTTGTGTCTGGACAATAATAATTAATAGTCAAAATAATTAGGAGACATTAAAAGAAAAGAAGAAAAAAGTTAAGAACCTTTTAATTGAATGCCTAGGGATGAGAGCATTTGGTTTACATGGTCAGAAGGCATATTTTTTTAATGAAAGAGCTTAACTGCAGCTTAATTACATTCAACACTCCATGACACCTTGCACTGTTTGGAAGTATCTGCAATTAGGTAACATGAAAGAAGGAACCTGCCTATATTAATGAAAACAAGAATAAATGACTGTGGCAACATGTTGATAATAATTGTGCCTCCAGGAGATACATGCAGAGGTTTAGGCAAAATTTTAATTAAGATCTTTATCTAGTAAGAACACAATGGGCAACAATTCGGTTGCCTTCCTCCCTACTTATTCCGTCAGGCTGACTGAAGAACTGGAATCCTGAAAATGTCTACAAGCTCAGGACTCTCAGTCACTTCAGTGGGATTTAAGAGCTGGTAAGTGGCATAGATGGAGGATTAAGTTGTCCAGGCAGTGGTTTAAGAACTCTGCGCCTGCAATCACATTACAGAAGGCAGCCTGTGATTGTGAGGGTTTATCCAGATCATCAGTTCGTAGCTTGCAGGAGGAGCTTTGCACAAAAGTAATCACTCACATGCTGTAGATAGTGACTGGGAAGTTGGGTTGCCTTGTGCTTGGATCATGATGGGAAGTCAGGAGGTGCTTAATTAAATTCACACAATTGTAGCCCCACTGTGCCCCCTTTTTGCCTAATCAAGGGCTGTTGCAAAGTTAAGGCAAAGGGACCATTCTTGTCCTTGTGTAACCTGAATATCGGGGTTGCCAAGTTTTTACTGGCAATTGTTGTTATGGTTTTAACTGCAGCTTAGTTTTAATATTCATAATATTTATTTGATACTGCAGCTTGATTAGCGGTTGATCATGCAAAGCTCCATGCCATGAAAAAGTCATCTGATGATGTTTGCAGATCAAGGTGCTCTCAAAGGCATAAAAGCAAGTAAATGTACATAACAGTTAGTAAAACGCCTAAGTGTGTAGGCACAGGAATAGGCCAGGCCTATCTGCTTCCTGGTCAGGGTATGGAAGCAGGGGCAGTAGTTGCAGGGCACCCCCCGCCCCCCCCCCCCAAAAAAAGAAGCTGACCTGCAAATCAGGCACACCAGGAAGGAGACTGCTTAGCTCAGCTTTCCCCTACATGGTGCTTTCCAGATGTGGCTGGGGATGATGGGAGTTGGACTACAACTCCTGCCATCCCCAGCTAAGTGCTGTAATAGGGATGTGCTTCAGAATGGACGCTGACCTTTTCAGGGCAAAGCACTTGGCAGCTCCCCTGCTGTGATGAACCTGGCTAGCAGGGCTGGCAGTGAGTGGGGTGGGGGGGAGAGCAGCAGGGGCTTCCCCGTGCAGAGGCGAGCAGCTCCCACGCATTTCCCATCGTGCCAATGCACGGTGGTGTCGTGGGCCACGGCACGGTGAGGGCTTGAGCAGAACCTGTGGGGCTTATTGCTATGGCTGATGTCCTGAGCACCATCCCAAGCCCGCTCCTTGGTTCGGAGCGCCCCCAGCGAGGCACATGCAACACTCCCCTCCCTTGGGGGGCCGACCTCCTCACTGCCTGTCCGCGGCTGCCACGGCCCCCTGTCCTCTTTCTCCACACTGCTGCCACTTGCTTGCTGGACAGGCAGGGAGCCGTGTGCTCTTCTCTCACTGCCACCACGACTGGCCCACAGCAGCACGTGATGAAAAAGCAGGTTACAAGGATGTCCGTGGGCCCCTGCTGGGATGTGGGCCCTTGACAGGTGCCCTACCATACCTGTCCTTGGTACCAGTCCTGGTACTATGCAGGAAGTGAGTAAGATGCTGGTGCAATCACAGCCTGGACAACACTCTGAACACCAGCAGTCCCAGTACCTGGGCTGGGGAGAAGAATTAGACATCTCCTAGCAAAATATCCCAATTAGAACTGGGGTGGGGGTGGGGAATGTAGTATTTGGGGAAAAAAGTAGCTGTACTTCTGTGAAGGAATGTGTCCAGCTCCTGTACAATAAATAAGTGTATGTTGCAACATAATCTGATTATTTACAAAGCTTGTAGAAGCCTGGGGCTGTTGTGGAATCCTTGCAGTTCCCTTTGCTTTGTTTATGCTTGCTTGCTAAATAGCTGTACTATAACTCACTGGAAATAAACTTAGTGAAGCCTTTCAATGGGCATCCTCAGAAAACTGGACATCTTAAGATGTCAGAAAGACACAACTTCCTTTGGATCTTAACTGTGCTGCCAAGGCAACAGCACCTTGAGGGTGCCTATTATAGCCTCTGAGAACGTGTTCCTTTAAGGGTTTCCTGGAACCCCCTGGGAGCTGCCCCATGTGGCCGAAGCGGATGCCAAAGGTCCTGCCCAAAACCTTTTGCTGCCTGAGACAAAAGATAAAATGGTTCCCTCTCTCTCATTTCATGCACAAGAAGCTGACTGGGATTCTAGCTGGCTCTTAATTCATTTGGTGGCATAGCAGGGGGGAAAGGTCAGTTAGCAAGACCTTTGGCATCCGCTTCGGCCACATGGGGCAGCTCCCAGGGGGTTCCAGGAAACCCTTAAAGGAACACATTCTCAGAGGCTATAATAGGCACCCTCAAGGTGCTGTTGCCTTGGCAGCACAGTTAAGATCCAAAGGAAGTTGTGTCTTTCTGACATCTTAAGATGTCCAGTTTTCTGAGGATGCCCATTGAAAGGCTTCACTAAGTTTATTTCCAGTGAGTTATAGTACAGATCACCCTGATTCCAAACCCCTGGAACCCTGCACACGCCTGTGAGGGGAATAACAGGAGAGCCATCTGCACAGCAGCTGTAAAGAATGGCTAGTGGTAAATGCATTATGCACACATGTTCTGCTAGAGTTATCTTGTGTGTGCACGTGTGCATGCGTGTGTGCAGGAAGGCTGGTGACCCCTATGCCACCAGGGCTCCTCATCCATTGCAAACAGGTTCACCATGATGGAGCTCCAGGGATGGCTCCCATACAATTCAGAATGAAAGCTGCCATGGATCAGGAGTGCCACTGGCACCAGTGTGTGTTTCAGATCAGTTTAGCATAGCAGATTTCAGAACTGGTTTCTACCTGATCCAGCCTCTGCTGCCTCTTCAGGAGCTCTTGTTCAAATGGAGACTTTAATTTCTTGGCCTCCTCTTCTTCTTTCCTCTGCTTTATCAGCTGGTTTCGTCTTCTGTGCTCCAGGACTCGCTGAAGTTCTGGTTTGCTCTCAACTCCCAATCCTCTATGAATGGGGAAGGGAGAGAAAAGGTTGAATGGAGTTTTAAGTACAAAAAGATGCATATTGGAAGGAAATAACTGAACTTCACAAGCTATATATGACTACCTGAAAGTAAGTCCCACAGCTCAGTGAAGCTTGCTCCAGCTATGGAATGCCTTTCCTAAAGTAGTTTGCTTCGCACAAACATGTTTAAATCAAGGATAGAGATTTAAGGGAAGGTAGTCAAGATTTGTAAGTTGGTGGTGGTGGGGAGCTTCCAAGTAGGTGGGCTCAAGGCATGGACATATACATTTGCACAAACACTTCATTCTTACCTATATACACATTCAGTTTCTTCTGTTTCCAGGCTATGTTGTTACTGATAGGAAAAATGTAAGTCCTTTAAAACATGTTTTTTGTATTTGCTTCACTTTGCTTTGAGAAGTTCTATTAAAGTCTGTGAAAATTTGGAGCTAGAACCAAATATATTCAGACACCTGCATACCCTTGCCTTTTTTTGGTATAAGCTGCTAACATATGCAAGACAATGAAATTGAGTTGAACATGCATGCTGAATACAGAATTTTGCTTTCCTTGGAACAGCATTTGCATCTCGCTCTGATGGAATTGGAGACTGCATACGCAGCCCTTAGAATTCCACTGCCATGGCCAAACGGCCATGCATATTTGTACATGGATCCAGGGAGTACAGCAGCAGCGGTAACAAGCCAGTTGCCAGTGGGTATGCATCTGTGGGTCTGCAGGGGGCGCAGTGGGTTAAACCGCTGAGCTGCTGGGCTGGTTGATCGAAAGGTCGCCAGTTTGATTCTGCACAACGGGGTGAGTTCCCGTTGCTCCGTCCCAGCTCCTGCCAACCTTGCAGTTCGAAAGCATGCAAATGCAAGTAGATGAAAAGGTACCACTTCGGTGGGCAGGTAACAGCGTTCCATGCACCTCGGTGTTTAGTCATGCCGGCCACATGACCACGGAGACTGTCTGTGGACAAACGCTGGCTCCCTCGGCTAGGAAACGGAGATGAGCACCACCCCCTAGAGTCAGGCATGGCTAGATGGAACGTCAAGGGGAAACCTTTACTTTACCTTTATGCATCTACAGGTCAGAAAAAGCATCACCCGGTGGATGGATGTCTGCACACAAATGCACTTTGTAAAGGCCCTGAGGGAGGTTTGTCAGGAAGGGGTGGGCAACTTGATTCTTACAGGAAGAGTGGCATGGCCAACCATTTGCTGGTTTGTCCTCTCAGGTTTCCTCCAAGAAAAAAGATGGTTAGAACCAAGCAGATCATTAATCTGTAAAAGGCCCCATCTGTGCATGGCGATGAAAAACATCTGGAAAAGCCCAAGCCGACCAGTTAGGCCTCTTCAGAGCTGATGAATTGCCCGCATCAGTGCAAAGATGCCGTCCAGAATTATTTTTATCCTCCCTGGCACTTTCTGTGATGCATCCTTAAACTGGTATGAAATAATTATGTGCATGAATAAAGAAACAAAGTTCCATTTAATTATATAATTGATATTAGTTATGAGGATTAATCATTTTTAAACCCTAGATCTTTACCTCCTTCTCCAGTAGGGGGAGCAATCTCACTAACAATCCTATGTGAGGCTCCTCTAACTTAAACACTGCTGGCATTGTTTTAGCTACAAATAGTTCCTGGTTATCACTCTTGGCCATCTGAATCCGCTCTCAAGATCAGCACCACAAGCACTAAATGGCTTTGCCATAGTGCTGACTTTAGTGGGCCTATTTAGTAGGTCAGAGAAAGAAAGAGCCCGTCTCCTTGGTGAGGCAGCTTCTCTTTCCATCCAGCCTGCCTTGTGGACGCGGTCAGGGGCAGGAAACAGCTTTCAGCCCCAGAACCAGGTTCAGTTTTGGAGACACTTTCAGGGACCATATCTCAGTGCTGGGCAGACCGAAAGGCTCGTGTTCTCATGTTCACCGAATGTGCAGCCAGCCAGACAAATCATATTTGTCATGTTGGCAGTTCACATTTACTGAAAATCTTAACTCTAAATCCCGACTCCTCACAAAGGAAACATGGGGTGAGTAAAGCAGTGGTCAGGAAAAGCCATGAGGCCTCACACCAGGATGGGCGAATGTCCTCTTTTCCCAAAGACTGTCAGAGGACTGTCTTCTTGTTTGAAGGCATCCTTGTCTGAAGGGTTCTGTAGTCCATACCTGCTTTAAGAACAGGGTCCTTTAAGATACCCATAAGCAGCACCCAGACAACACCCTATTCTTTGTTCCCTAGTATTGTAAGTTGTAATCTATTTCTATTTCCATTTTAATTAGTATTTCTAAATGTGCATCCCTATATATAAATTAGCACATGCATATTTTATGCAAATAGGTATCCTTTTTTGCTCTTCTTTTTGTCATGCCTAACTTTTTGGGGGGGGGGGCAGTTCACAAATGGCCACCGTGGTGCCCAAGCTTGTATTTTTTCCTTCTACTTCAGCTCTTCATGTATTTGCTGTTTTTGTTCTGTATTTATGAAATGAGTTGGCAACTGATTTACATTTAACTGGCTTTCTTCCTGTTTTTGTTTTAACATGCATACATAACTTTAACAATCATTCTAAAAAGGCATATTTCAGTTAGCCTACAACTAACTTCTTAAATATTTAATCCCACCTAGTTTTAATGTTTTCAGACTTTCTTTATAATAGTTTGGAAGAACTTGTTTTCATAGGACCTGCCTTCCATATGTTTCTGTACAAGTTCCTAGGATTACAGTGGAGAATCAGTTACACTACCTTGTGCTCCTCGGAGGACAGGAAAACATGGAATAAATTTGTAGAGCTGAAACCAAGTGCTGAGGGGCAAAGGAGGTAGAGTCAAGTGGAATCAAAACATCCAGGGGATCCAGGACAACTTGGCCTGAGCAGGATGTAGAACAAATGAAGCCACCCTAGCCAACAAAGCACATCTGGCCTCACTGATACCTGCCTTTAAGGGGCCTTTTCTGTTCAGTCTTGGCTTGTTGATGTTATGCTACCAGCAGTTGTTGAATGCAGCTGTTTCTGTCTGGCTTCTGGATGGACTTCTAATTTAAATTATTGTTTGAGCCTGTTTTACAATTTTGCAACCTGACCTGGAAGGGGTTTTCCCCCTACAAGGCAGGCTATACATTTATTATATCAACAGAAATACTAATAAAAATATGCAAGCATTAGTAGCCTTGACCTCACATTGCAGTGAACTTTCTGCTTGTCTCCCTCCACTCCACTGCCCCTCCAGTGAGATTGGAATGACTCACTCCAAATTCCTAGCTGCTCCCTGCCTGCTCTTCAAACAAGACCTTCATAAAGCAAATAAAAGAGGAGGATATGATTGGGAAAGAGACAGGATATTTACTCGCTCCTCTCCCTGCTTTTATGTAGAAGACTTTTTACAAGATCTTCATCTTTTTTGTCTGTCAATAGATGTACTTCTTAGGGTTGGGAAATCTCTGGCTATGATTTATGTTTTTTGGCTCCGTTGATGTCACAAGATAGCAAGAAGAAATGATGAGGTGATTTGTATTGTTTGAACAGAACCAGAGAGTGACACGTTCAATCGGCTTTGTGATTTAAGTACAATTAAGAAGACTCTGAGGTTTTCCATGGATCACCCATCAGGGCAGCCACATTCGCATACATACTTGCATCTACCTAGCAGATGTGCCTTATTTGGGTTTGTTTGAAACCTGATTCCAGCAAAAGCTCTTCTGCTGCTCTAGCTTCTTGTGGAAATGCAACCTTGCTGAAATACGCCTTCTATGCAACCTATTAAAGGGGCAAGAGGCCTGTCCCCTTTTGCTCCTGGCCACTCTATTCTCCGGGGGCCAGAATCAAAGGGAAAAGCACAGTAAGACAGACATTGACACGCACCTTTTTGGTTGCTACACTTTTGATTGCTGAGGAGACCAGGTGACTTTAAAACTAAATGGTGGTGTGTCTTTTGTTGTGGCTTTTCTTGAATGGTCTCCAGTCATTTGGGATTCTGAGTTGTGGTTACCGTCACGGCACCGCTCCTGTCAGTGGTGACTGCCCAGTCACGAAACAGCTGCTGCTGGGCCCTGGCAAGTCGCAAAGCACCCGCTTCACAAGAGCAAATGGCTGAGATGGAAGGGCAAGCAACCTGCCCAAGAGCCTGAGCACAAGGCCGAGATGCGGCCGGAGGCCCCAGATGCAAAACCATTCCTTTGAACCCAGGTCCAAAGGAGGAGCGCTCCAAAACCAATTTTCCCCCAAAATGCCCCATGTTGGAGACACACAGACACTACACACCCCACCTTGCAGTGGCACAAAGAACACAGAGGAACTCCCACCCCACACAGAAAACACACGCGTGTCCTGTGATCCCCCCCAACACATCACAGTTGTCCCACCACCCCAAGCCCCCGACCATCCAAATACCCCCCAATCTCCAAAATTGTCCCTCCGTGCCAACACCTCAGGATTGCCCACACACATGTGCAAAACTCCGGGGGTCACCAGCCGCTCCTGGTGATCCATGTGGGCACAAATGATGTGGCCAGGCAGGGTGTGGTTGGGATCACCAGGGACTTTGAGGCCTTGGGGAAGAAACTCAGGGAGCTGAAGGCCCAGGTGGCCTTCTCGTCAATCTTACCGGTCCGGGGATTTGGGCCAGGAAGGGACAGGAGGGTCTCCGAGGTGAACGACTGGCTTAGGGTGTTGTGCCAGAAGGAATGCTGTGAGTTCCTCGACCACGGCACTCGTTTTCTTGCCAATGGACTTCTGGCAAGGGACGGGTTACACCTCACGAGGATGGGGAAAAGGTCCTTTGGAGATGCTGTAGCGAGCTTCATCCGGAAGACTTTAAACTGAGCTGGGGGGGGTGGTTCAGGCCCCCCAATAACATGTCTGCACTGGACAAGTGTGGGGGGGAGGATCAGGGCTCTGGGAGCAGGGTTTCAGAGGTACTGCAGGGACTGACAGGACTCCTTCAGAGAGGGGCCAGATATTAGGAGGATGGGAGGAAGGAGGAGGCTGGGAACT